TAATAATCTATATCTGAGCTGTATCTGATACCAATTATCATTGTGATGGAGTGCATATTGCTAATGTATGGGAATAAAAAAATCGATTCGGTTGAAACTTATATATTGTAGCTATAGTTATATCTGAACCGATTTTCACCAAATTTGAAGTATTTGCTAAGCCTAGAAGCATTATGTGCCGATGTGCGGAAATATATCCTAATTCAAGGAATACAACACATATGACACTCAATAAAATTTAAATCAGATTTATGTGAATCATACCTAAATTTTGACCGATTTCAAACATATGATTTGTGAAAATTTTTCATCGAGGGAAACTATAGGTCCATCGGGCTTCGTTTTGCCTGAATTATTTCTATTTAAATAAATGAATTTTTATTTAAAATTTTGTAAGTTGCCTATTAGCAAAAAATCATGATCAGAATTTTATATAAAAAGGATTAATTGTACACCATCTAAAGCATCGCCAAAAACAAATTTTTACTCACAAACCTTTCCCCCCACCCCATTACACCAGACCTGTCTTCAACGAAATGAAATTGAATTGTTTTCATACTCACATGAATTCCTGACGAAGTTTAGCGTCATAATGGCTAAAGTTTTATACCACGACAACAGCATCATAAGAAATAATTACATTTCTTAATAATTCAACAAAGAAAGTTGGTTAGTATCTTTCCCTTGACTCAAAAATATATTCGTTTCTCTGCTCCGCTGTGAACCTTTCAAATGGCAAAACTTAATCAATTTACTCCGAAACTACAGAAAGTTTGTGTGCATGTTGCGACTTTATTAACAAATTTGTAAACAAAAAAATGTGAAAATAGCAATTATTACGACAGATTAACAAATTTACATTGACTTTATTTTTTGTGAACGTTGGCCTCTTTTTTAATATTGAATGTAAAAAGTGCAAAATTAACTTTTTGATTGTTTAATAAAATATGTGCTAATGACCATTGGCTGACCCCAACAAAGTGAAAAAAATTAAAAGTTTTGAAAGAAGCGGCATAACCAAGTAATTCCTTTAACAATAACATGGAGTGAATGAAGAAATTTAGCAGAAAATAAATTAGAATGTCTCAGTCGGCTTTGCCAACCGATTATTTAAATAAATTCTGTCGTGCGTTATTATTGTTCAAAATGTTGACCATTTCTGGCGGAGATAACGAAGGAGAGAGCAAATATTAACTTGGTTCTACAAAAATATTACGATCATGGCAGGTTAGGACTATATTGACTACCTCTACCACTTTATATGAGATATACAGGTATAAAAAAACTGGAACAAAGTCAAACGCCATAATTTTTAATTTTTTTTAATTTTTTTTTTTTTAATTTTATTGAATGAAAGCAGAAAAAGTCGGAAATAGCATCAAATTTTAGAATAAGTTTAGATATGTTCGAATTGGACACCTTTGGCACGAATTATGGTCTTCAAACGGACAATGAAACCGTCTCACGTTGCCCGAATGTTGCTCTACGGTATTTTGGCCCATTCCCGGCGAAGTGCTTGCTTGAGGTGATCGACACTTTGGTATTTTTTAGTGCCAACCTTGCCTTCCAAATACTCCAGATACAATAGTCCAACGGATTGGTATCCGGTGATTTTAGTGGCCATTGTGCATTGGAAAAAAGAGAGGAACCTCATTTTGTAACCATTCTTGGGTGGCATTCTGAGTGCGATGGTGCTGAGTCCTGTTGGAATGTACAAGGTCTACAAGGCTTTAATACACCCACAAAATATACAAAATATACAGAGCGACCATCGGCGCTCTCCACACCAGCGCCATTGGCGGCACTTGAGTTCTGGTGACCAACCGAAGGTGCACATTTTCAGCTGACCTCTTTGGAAAGTAAACACGATCATTTTATTTTTTTTTACGAACTGCAGGACAACGAATGTTTTCTCATCGAAGAAGCACAAATTCGGCAGTTCACTACTTTCGGCCAAGCGAAGCAACTCTTTAGCTCTTTTGAGTCTATTTTCGTTGCGGTGCGATGCGGTGTAAGTTTTTGTACTTTTTGGAATTTAAATGGCTTTAGCCCGAGCTCGTTTTTCAATATATGCCGAAGGGCCACCTCGACGCGTTTTTCGATCAAGTCGCTTCTTTACTTTTCGAAACATTTCTGCTGATGTTGCTGTTTTCTTCCGTCCACTTCCTTGCCATCGGGCTACGCTACCATTATCACGAGCGATGGTATGAGATACAAAAGATTTATTCACATTTAAATGCTGGAGTGCTCTAACGATAGCCACTTGTGGTTTTCCGGCTAAATATAAAGAAATCACACTATCACGCTTGAATTTCATCGCGAATAACTTTTTTCTGTAAAATTCTCACCAAAATGCTTTTGTACGTCATGTAAACAATATAATGATCTGTCACTGGAATAATTTTAACAGCTGTCAGACGAGCGGCTTAGAAATGACAGCAGTCGAAGTTGGTTGCAGTTTTTTCATCTCACCGCTTATATGTACTTGACAGACATTCCGATGTTTTTAGGGGTCAGTCGTAAAATTTACTGTACTTTCTGATAGAAGGATTACTTTTGGAGAAATCAGAAGAATTGGACCTGCTGACTTGGTCTTCATTAGGCAGTTATCGTAACTGACAAAAAAAAATAAATTTTCCACATAAAATGTCGATAAGTCATAAAGAAAAAGTTAGTCCTTTAATGGACGTCCGATAGGACATCAAATTTAATGCAAAGAAACTCAGATTTACGTTGGCTATTCTGGAATTTTTTGTACCATCACGAACCCAATACGAACTTGAAATATCAAATTTCAGCAATTTTTTTTAAAAACTCGGACTTAAATCATCGAAATGACTAATATCGATAGATACCGGTATTATAGAGATATGTAAAAAAGTGGACCTATGTGCACTATTTTTAGCTAGACGATTTATTACCTATTACGTACTTCAACTACCAAACTCTAAAATATTCTAAAAATACTGGTTTTCTGGTTAAACAGGAGGCTATATCTAAACGTATACCTATCTAGGCAATTTTCTGCTAGAAAGGGTATAGTCTATTAAGAATTTCTCATATTGAATCGGAGATAAATTAATTGAAAAGTCTGGCTAAAATAATTAAAATTTGTGTGGGATAATCTTACATAATCTATATTCTGGGTGGGAGTGGCTCTCCTTATGAACTTCAAATACCAGTTTCAACAATTTCCGCTTAAAATTATTAAAATATCGAAAACTTAGGGTTTTAAATATTAAAAACTTCCGCTGTAAAACGTGGTTAAAATACCGATTATGTGGAGGTTGCATCATAAGAAACTATACCGTGGAACTATATAACCTATACTTCCTATATGGAAATGAAGTACATCTCTGTGCAAATTTCAGCTTTCCATCATTTCAAATATTGAATGCCGGATCTAGAATCTAGAATGTTTAATCGGCTGAAGGAGACTAGGTGCCTAGGCGTGTGATAATCCATGGTTTTTGAAACTTCTCACCAAAAGGGAATATAACGTGCTAAAATGTACTAAAAATAAAGTACTGTGTATAGGACAAACGGAATAAGTTACAGTTCTAAAATTCCGAATTGGAACCACTTATGGAGTGCAGCATACATGTACAAAAGGGTATTTTGGAAAATCGAACTTTAAGCATATGAAAAGTTCTAAAATTTTACAAAACTTCCAAAATGATACCATTTGGTGCTATGTGAACGGGTAGAGTCAAAAACATGAAATTTGGTATAAGAATCAAGTTTGGAATGTACTGAGTGTGCGAACTGTACTAAACAGTTCGGTTTAGGGTAGCTGAACTTCTGAAATTTTATATTGGGGTCCTTGCTGTTTGTATGTTTGCGATAAGGAGGTGGTTTTGGAAATGTGTACTACAATTGCAGGAAAAGTACTAAATAGTACTATATTTGGTACAATTTGGTATTTGGTGAATAGATAGTTCTTGAAAACTGAAAAGTCTGTAAAGGTCGCCTTTCATGTGTAGCCCGGGCATATGTAGGTTGTTTCGGAAACATCTACCATAATTGTACGAAAGGTACTAAATGTTACTATATTTGGTAAGGATTGAAGTGATAAAGATAAAATTCTGAAATTTGATATTTAGAAGACTGATGTTATCTCTGGCTGAGATTTAGCGGTGGTTTGGAAATGCGTCGTATATTTGTATAAAAAGTACTAAATTTGTTATTGGGTGAAGGGATAGGGTTGGAATCTTCAAATTTTATATTTAGGTATCTCTTGGTATCTGCAATTGAGATAAGGAGGTGGGTTTGGAAATGTATACCATAATTGTAGAAACAAGTACTAAATAGTACTATAGGTACTGAATGGAGGAAGGTAACTGAAATCCCGACATTTGATATAGATATCACTTTCGATGTCTGTGGTTAAGAGGTAGTTTAAAAATGTGTATTATAATTGTTCGAAAAATACTAAGTGATACTAAATTGGGTATTGGGTGAAGGGAGAGAGCTGAAATTCTAAAATTGTACTAAATGGTACTAATTTTGCCTCATTGTTTGTGTCCAGGATGGAGAGATGTAGCTTGTTTTGATATGCATACTAAATGGTACTAAATTTGGTATTGGGTAAAGGGATAGAGCTGAAATTTGATATTGAGGTTTGGAGAGGAAAATTGGATGTGGTTCCATTGTGCAATTGTTTTACTAATATCCTCTCCGGTAAACTTCAAAATGAACGGTTTTGAAGACTTTTTTGTGTAAAAAGTAGAAATTTTCCTATTGTTCTCTCCCAAAAAACAAAAATCTTAAATGATATACTAAACCTTAAAAGTCTGATAATTTAGTACGTTCCATGAAGTTTTGGTTTTTGTCAAATTTTTTTCTTCCTTCCGACACATTGAGATTCAATAGTTTTTGGAGAATGTAGCTTCAATGCATTCATGAATAACTCAAATATCTTTAAATTTACATTGATTCAACTTAAATATTTTATTTGAAAAAAAACTACTCAAATTAATCAATTTTTTAATTACATTTAGGTTGCATGGATACGTCATCGTGATCTGCATATATTGACAGTTGGCACATATACCTACACCACCGATCAGAGATTTCAAACGTCCTATCACCGTGACATTGATGAATGGACATTACAAATTAAGTGGGCGCAGCAGCGTGATGCTGGTGTCTATGAATGTCAAATCTCCACGCAGCCAGTGCGAAGTTTTTCCGTTCATTTAAATATAGTTGGTAAGTGTAAATTGTTGTTATGTCATATTTTGACTGTATGTAAATAGGTGTATGTATATTCCGAGTTTATAAAAGTAAATTTTTCGTTAGACTTAATTTAAGAAGAGATGGTAATATTTACCAGGGGTAGGACAGGGTTTCGGATGCACATCCTCAACAGTTCCCTTGATGTTTCAATGGGGATATTCTTCCCAGGAGCTATTTAAAACAAGTTAAAAAGTATCAGTCGGGTTTGCCGACAGATGTATACCCTTAGCCTGTTTGTTAAATCATGGTTTGACTTACATTATGTTCATTACAAAATGTTGACCCTACATGGAAAGAGTGGAGCAATATTATCCAATTCTCATCTGAACCGATTTAAATTTAATTTGGAAAATTCATTTTTGTACCAAATCGTCACTGCACTCGTACTATTCGTCCAACTCCATATCAGGTTTGTATGGAGAGTAAAATTGACCTCGCCCACTTTTACGACCACTTTTTTCGATATATCATTACATTTGCAAAAAATAATGAAGATATCGGATTGAAAATTTTAATTGTAATTGCAATTTAAAAGTTTTTACAAAAGCGAATTTAGAAAAGAAAATATTCAGAAAAGTCGGAAAATTGGAAAAATCGAAACTTGTTTTTTGAGATGGACTTTGTGTGTACAAAAATTTAGAATTCTTAGTTTAAAACTGGAATAATTCATGAAAAATATGAACAATTGCATATTATCGCATGACTTGGCTTTGGTCGATATAAGTCCTAAAATCGATTCTGAAACTTGCCAAATTTTGGATAGTTATAAATTGTATTTAATTGCTTCTACGTTGAATTTGGTCGTACACTACATATTTGGTGCCTAATGAACTTGTAATCGGATGAAGACCTATATGGGAGATCCAATTTAGAATCGATCTCGATAAATTTGATAATAAGAGTTTTAGGCCGTATCTGATGTCTTGTACCAAATATAATTGCTATGGAGTGCATATTACAGTTTTAGGGGACTTAAATATTAAATTGGATTGAACATATATATGGGTTATAATTGCTCAAAATTTTGACCCGTTGTGGGATAGATACTGGGAGAAATATTGCATATTCACACCAGATCCTTTGTTGATAGAAGCATTGGGATGAACCGAGTTTGAAAGGAATCGGATGCTAGTTTCACATTTTATTGGCTTCATTGTTATTCAAAATTATTCAAACTTGTTGTTGGGAGGTACCAGAAGAAGTGGTCTGTTCTTCAAGTCAAATCTTGTGCCGGTAAAATATTCAGGTGTGCGAAATTCGGGGACAATGGGACATTCTATAAAAGTTATAATTATTCAAAATGTTGACCCTTTGTGGGGGAGTTACTTGGTCAAGTGGGCCGATATTTTCCATTATTGCACTTGACCTAGCACCGATAAGAATATAAGGATTTGCAAAGTTTGCACAAAATTGGACCGATGGTGTATATCTCTGGACTCGATATAAGATTGATAATAATATTACGATGTATCAGTTTTTGACCAAATCGGATGTTCCCTTCGAGAGTTACCGTGCCCACTAGCCAGATAGACACGCAGATGGACGGACACCACTAGATCGACTCCAAATGTCCTAAAACAGATTTGTTCCACAGAGTCAAATACATGAACATGTCAGACCCAACAAAGTATATATATTCTTGATCAGCGTAAAATTCTAAGTCGATTTAACGGTGTCCTTCTGTCTGTCCGTCCGTCTGTCTGTTGTAATCACGCTATCTTTCGAACGAATTGACATAAAAGGCTAAAATTTTGCACACATGTTTATTTTGTCAGTAGGCAGTTTAAGCACGAAAATGGGCTATGTAGGTCCACGTTTTCATATAGCCCCCATATATAAGTACCTCCCGATATTCGGTATTTTGATGATTTTAGCGACATTATTCACCGGAATTGTTTAAAATTTGGTATTTGAAGTTCGAAATGACTGCTACAGCCTACGACAGAAAATTATATGTGCAGGTCCACGTCTTCGTATAGCCCCCATATAACGGTACCTCCCGCTATTCGGTATTTTGATGATTTTAGCGACATTATTCACCGGCATTGTTTCAAATTTGGCATTTAAAATTCGAAATGGATACTACAGCCTAAGACAGAAAATTATCTGTGCAGGCCCACGTCTTCGTATAGCCCCCATACAACGGTACCTCCCTATATTCGGTATTTTGATAATTTTAGCAACACTGTTCACCGGTATTGTTTCAAATTTGGTATTTGAAGTTCGTTATGAATACTACAGCCTATGACAGAAAATTGTCTATGCAGGCCCACGTCTTCGTATAGCCCCATTTATAGGGGTACGTCCCAATATTCGGTATTTTGATGATTTTAGCGTCATTATGCACCGGAATTGTTTCAAATTACGTATTTAGAGTTCGTAGTGGGAGTCTGTGATAGGAAATTGTCTATGCAGGTCCAGGTCTTCGTACCTCCCTATATTCAGAATTTTGATGAGTTTAGGTACAATACAAACCGAAATTGTTTGAGATTTGCAGTTCGTAATGGATGCTACAGCCTCTGACATTACATTATTCACCGTTTATTTCAAGTTTCGAATTTGAATATTGTAATGGCTTATGACAAACAATGCCTATGTTGGTCCACGTCGTATAGACCCCAATATAATGGCTATATTCGGTAATTTTAAATTTTAAAGAATTTTTTAGTTTTATTTGTTTGAAAATTTCCAAATTCGTTCCAAATGGTGGAGGGTATTCAAAGTTCGGCCCGGCCGAACTTACTGCTTTTTAACTGGTTTATTTTCTTTAGACCGGTAGTGTTTAATTTCAAGTTTATTTTTTCAAGTTTCAAAACATATTTACCGACATAATTTCTGGATCTTAATGCCCGTATGTCTGTGTAATAAATATAAATTAAACAAATGTTTGTAGTACTCCCAAGATGTTTGGTACCTCCTGTTTATACCCTACAACACTATGTGTTGGGGGTATTATAAGTTTGATTGGGCCAAAAATTATGTAACACCACGAAATACTGGTTTCCCACATAGGAGAGTATATATGGTTCTTCCTATCTCGCCGAGCTGAGTCGATCTAGCTATGTATGTCCGTCCGTCCGTCTGTCCGTCTGTCCATGTTAATTTGTAATCACTCTACAGGTCGCAATTATGGTCCGATCTTCACGAAATTTTGAATGGAGGTGGGGCTAGGGTCAGAATAGGTCTTTTGGAGATGATTGCATTATATTTAGGGGTTGAAATGGACCAAAAACTGAAAAAAAAATGATTTTGAAGTTGCTCTACAAGTCGCAATTATAGACCAATCGGCACGGAATTTAGCATGGGCTAGAGGTTAGGTCTGGGCAGAAGCCTTCCAATTTTGATGGTCATCTGGTAATATTTAGTGGGTGAAATAGACCACAACATTTGTGTTAAATAAAAGTCAAATTTTCCATTGAACGGTGAATATTCTTAATCCCAGCGAAATCACAAACAGACGAACGGGTCAATTTTGACCGTTACGTAGATGCCGATAGTAAATATATCGGTTATTTATAGCGAAATATATACAATGTATATATAGAAGGAAGGGGATGTTAACTAGAATACTTAAATCTCAAGAATGGCTAGACCGATTTCGCCAAATTTTGTCAATTCAGAATGTCCCCTTACCATAAAAGTATAAAATCTAAAAAAATCGCATAAAAAGATGCCTATAATGATATTAATATAGATTTTGTAGTATTTTGTGACACATTTTTATTTTTTCATATTTTTTATCGCATGCGATTTTTTCAATTTGACTTATAATATTGAATTGTACATTTTGTAATATTTTTTCATTTTATGGTTATTATATACAGATTGCAATTATCCTCACGAAAAAGGGTAGGGTTAGGCTCAGAATGGCTAGGCCTATGGTCTTCAAAGATGTCCGCAATATATTTAGGGGTTGAAATGGACCAACAACTAAAAATGTTCCTGATTTTGCAGCCGTTATAAAGTTAACAAATTGAATCCAAAGGAAATCTCGCATGAAGTTAGAGTTTGGGACATCGGGTAGAATGGACCACTACTTTTGTGTGTAAAAATACCAACATTACTTACAGGCGATATCCGGAATTCACAAAAGGCGAACTTCTGGCTTTTTTATGCTGATTTCGTTGATGGATAAAGCCAAATATCGTAGATAAGCAAATGATATAGATGAGTTTAAATTTGGTGATACAGAGGAGCCTCTTGCTTTTCGAGTTGATCGCAAAATATTTAGGGGTTCAAATGAACCAAAAACAAAAAAAATTTCCTGCTCACACAATTGAAGAGAGTTAAGAACAGGGAAGAATTCTAGCATTTTGGATAACCATTGTTATATGTAGCTGTAAAATGGATCACATCAACTATGGAGTGCGTAAATATTGATTAAATGTCCCTGGCCAAAGAGCTAAGTGTAATCTGGGCAGTGCTCTATGACATCATTTCAAAAGCGAAATCTTCCAAAATGAATTTGGACATAAGGTGGCTTCTAACATATTGTAGTGTTGTAGGGTATCACATGGTCGGCCCCGCACGGTTATAGCCTTTGCTTACTTGTTTTCGGTATGTCGAAGGTTTTGGTTCCAATTTTCAACCAAATCAACTGTAATTTGATATTTACGGTTTTCATCTGATAGTTCAATTTCTCGAAAAAAATATTCAATTTAGGTCCACTTATTGTAATAGCAATGGAGCTTACATATTTGAGGGATTTTGTGGAGAGCTAATTTGAGCATACCTCGAGTTTCCACATGCTGGAAGGTATAAAAAGTTCGATCCCTCCGAACTTAACATCATCGTCCCTTGTTCATTATTAATTCTTTGGTACAGCTACATTTTTTGGCAAAGGAATGCTGTAATTATATTAGCGAAACTTAAACGACGTTTTTATCAACATTTTACTTGGCACACATCCGTGCATAGGGGCACACATGCATGCTCCCTTTTTGTGTTTACCTAAAGGAAATATAATAAGAATT